CCCCAGCTGCTCTGTCCTAGGCGTCCAGATTCAGCTGCTGTTGAAACTGATCAGCGGCTGATTCCAGGCAGCCCAGGGCAGAGCAACTCTGCCTCGGGCTTCCTGTAGTCAGCCACTGGTCAGTTTCAGCAGCGGCTGAATCTGGAAGCCAGTTCCGACTTACATACAAATTCAACTTAAGAACAAACCTACAGTCCCTATCTTGTACGTAACCCGGGGACTGCGTGTATAACAGGTATCAAAGATAAACTAGATAGCCATTTGAAGGATCTATCCTTCATGAATTTATTAGCCAGGTTGGGCAGGAATGATGTCCTTAGCCTCTGTTTGTCAGAAGCTGGGAATGGGCAACAGGAGGTGGATCACTTGATGATTACCTGTTCTGTTCATTGCCTTTGGGGAACCTGGCATTGGTCACTGTCAGAAGACAGGATACTGGGCTAGATGGACCTTTGGTCTGACCTAAGCATGGCCATTCTTAAATTCTTAATCTATGCAAACTGATATGTACTATAGTATTGTTCTTTTATATAACAAGCATGTTATTTTTCAGTATGATAGCCAAGAGGCTTACGTCTTTCTGTATTTTGCTCTCCCATAATAATCACTAACTTGCTTTAACAAAAAAACCACACTTGTACTGATGGGTGAACCTTAAAGAGGTCTAAGTCAGACTATACTTCTGATAAGCATTAAACAATACATACTGAGGAGAGAGGCTCACAAGAATAAGGCTCTATCATCAGCCACCAGCAAAGGAACTAAATATGAATCAATGCAAAACTGATGCAAAAGAAGTGAACACCTGAGGAAATATTAGCAGGTACGCTGAAAACAAGACCCGAGAATTAATTCTTCCATTTTATTCAGCACTGATTTTGGGGAAAGATGCTTACTGGAGCAAGTCTCAGAGAGAGCAATGAAAAAAAAAGATTAAAAGTCTAGAAAACATGAGTCATGAGGAAAGACTAGGAAAAAAATGTGGGAAACAAGTCTTCAAGCATATAAAAGCTTTTTTTAAAAGGAGGCTGATATTTCTTGTCCTGTCCTCAATGGATGAAAAGAAGTTATGGGCTTAAATTGCAGCAAGGAATTTATGTTAGACATTAGGGTAGTTAACTGTCAGGGCAATTCAGCACTGGAACTAGCTACCTAAAGAGGCTGTGGAATCTCCATTATTGGAGGTTTTTAAGACCTGTCAGGATTGGTCTAGATTTAAGTGGACTGTTGGCCTCTTACTAAAACTTAGTGGGAGGGGGGTTGGTTTTAGCCCCCAGAACAAAATGAAGGGAAACCAATGGGAAGAGACCAACGTTCCAGGTCAGCCTGATTGATACAGTGGGGGGGGGGGGGGGGGGGGGGGAGGACATTTTGTCTTATGCGTGATCTGGATTTGTTTAAGTCAGAGAGAGTGGGGCCAAGCTAAGCAAAAGTCAGGGGCCTGAGCTGAGCTGGGGAGCAGAGCCATGTCGGCTAGAGAGAACCAGAGACACAGCGCAAAGAACAGATTCTGTGTTGAGAGCAGGGCAGTGCTGGGGGACAAGACAGCAGCTAAAGAACTTGAGAGAAAACCCAGAAAGCAGATCCACACTGGGAGGAGAGCAAGAGCAACCATATCCAGAGGAGTCAGGGAAGCAGTCCAGGAGTCTGAAGACAGAGCACCTGAGAGTGGAGCAGAGGCTGGTGCAGCCTTGAGAAGGATGTGGTGAGCAGCTGAAGAGAGCAAGGGAGGACCCTGGACAGAGGTATAACGCAAAGAGACACCACCAACCAAGAGGCCTTGCAGGCCAATTTAGGAGGGAGAATTGTAACCCCAACCAGGGGAAGGGGCGATTTACTCTGGGGGAAGGATCCTGCCACCGAGAGCCTGAAGGTGTATGACCATCAGAAGAACAAGTGTTCAACCCACAGCATCTTTGTAGCACAGCCAGGGGTTAGGAAGCAGGCCTGGGACCTACAAGAAACAGACTGAACTGCCCTTACATTCCAGAGATGCTGTTTGTGATGTCCTTGTGCTACAGCGGGGTGATGTGTTTTCCTTTCACCTTTCCCATTTTTCCTTATTCTTTGTCACACATTGTTGTTTATCAAATTATATTTGCTTTGAACTGTATGTGATGTGAAACATCCAGTGCAGAGAAAGTACTTTGGAGTGAGGGTTGGGGGTTGAACTCCTCAGGACTCTTGGGCTCAGCCTTGTGAGGCTTCTGCACAGAAGAAAGTGGAAGGGGAGCCCTCAAGTTCAAGGAGGCCTTTGAGTAAATAAAAAGGGAGCAGGAACTCAGATCTTTTTACTAGCCCACTTCACAAAGCCAGGAAAGCTATTCCTCCCAACAGCAGAACAATTCCCCAATTTACATAGCTAGTACCTGGTCCTGCCTCATTACAGCAGACTGGATTAGATGGCCTAAAAAGATCCATTCAACTTCTACATTTCTAGAATTCTATAAAGTGGTAACAGCAATCCCCATGGTCTATCAAGCTATTATTTTTAAATACTTTTCACCAATCTCAGTTATTAAATAGTTACTAGTTGGTCTTTAGCATATTAGAGACCTTGTTTTAAATAAGATGTTTGTTTTATAAAAACAAAAAAGCAAACTTTTTTGGCTGGAGGTTTGCAAGCTGTCATTTTCAATTTGCAAATAACCAGGAACAAACAAATGAACTGACAATTTAAATATAATAAAGGAAATAAGGCACTAGTGTAATTGAATTTGTCTGAGGGCTGTTTCCTTATTTTCAGTCGACCAACATACATGCATTTGCTTTTCTTAAACAATTTTCCTAAAACAATTATTCCTTTCTGTAGCTCTCATCAGGACATGCTCTTTTATCCGCTAAGTGCATGTGCCGTGGCTTTATCCATCTCTCTTTACTGTTTCCTTCTGTAGTTTTCTGACCCCTTCCTCCTTTGATCCCAGCTCTATCACTGGGCAGTTGCTAATGCTAGCTAGGTAACAGTAAAGCAGATTTTTTTTCTCAAATCAATTCTTGTGAAGCTCTGTAATGGTCTAGCAGAGAGCTATACACAGATGGCATCTTCACACAGTCTATCACAGTCTTTGTGCACTTTCAAAGAAAAAAGAAAATGGGAGGGGAGAACCCCAAGTATCTGTATCCAGTGACCCCCTCCCAATGACACATACAAAAGACCTGCAAGCATGGCTACCAATCACCTAATCTGTTTTTAAATGGACAAAACTTCTTTGCTGATCTAACCTTGAATTTATAAATACTTTTTTTAAAGAAACCTACAGTTTGCAAAGAATAAACTGATTATCTGTGGGAGGAAAAGGGACACCATGTTAAAGATTTTTATGGATCCCAATTAAAAAAAATTAGTTCCCTGTTTATAGTTTAAGACAAAGTCAGCAGTGAAGGAGAAATAATGTGTCTGTCAAAGTTTCAATTCATTTGCAACATAGCAGCATAACCATCAGCTCTCCAAATTATGTACAAGCAGCTTTGTAAACTTGTTTCCGCAGCAACGTGCTATGACTATATGCTGATCTCCCAAAAGGAAACATGAAAATGCCTTGCTCCTTGACTTCTGCTTGTTCTAGCTATGCACTGTTGTAGTGTCCCCTTCACCTTCCTTACAAGGATAAAAATAAAACAGACATAACAGATTATACCTTAGTAGACTGCAGAAAAAGAGATGTAGGCAAGTGGGACAAATATGCATTTCTGACTTCAGATCTGAAATGCCCAAGGCCAACCACCATGAAAAAAGCAGGTGAGGCATATGTCTTTTTTTAGTTTAAAATATCT